GGAAGGAAGGAAGGATTTTGACATTAAATATTGAATGATATTTTTAACAAAGCTTTTCAGAAATAGAATATTATTTGGCTATTAAAACAAATTCTCCTTAAATCTACAAATAATGATGCAGATAGATAAATATGAGGAGATCTTTATCTTCCCCTACACAAAACTTATATTCAGCATTTAAGTCTCAGATCTTCCTGAAAATACTCTTTCATACAGAATTGATCGGCATCCTCTTAAACATAGGATTTTCATTTTAACATGCTATTCTGTTTGATGTTATTATCATTCATCATCTCTTTTACAAAGGAGATAAGCGGAAAACATATAAGAATTTTCTTCTATTTCCAACCTTGTCCATCCAGTTAAATAACCAGAAAGGAAGGTATATTTCTTCAGGGTATTTTGTTTCCTTTTACGATCTATATATGATTTCAGTTTCCTGAAACAAGGAGAGACCTGATCAGCATGTATTTAACAATTCCATAACCAGGATGGGTTAAACTAGCTGAATATATTTGAGTTGTGAATATGTATTCTTAGAACACCTGCCTCAAAGTGGGAGGAGAAAGACGCAGACTAGGAATATTCTGCAATGTATGTATGAGGGGCCAGTCCTACCAGTACCATCAACATTCAAATTGCTGTTCACTCACAACTAGCACTTCAAAGCTTTCTACCTTCATTTCACAAAGCTGATATTGGTTGCAATTAAGTGAGAAAAGTCAATGTCCTCTTGACCTCTTTCTCCCCCTCCCTGTGAAAAACGTACATCCTCCTTTTATCCTTCCCAATAGAATCATTTTAGAAGACCTCTTCAACATTGTTCTGCAAAAATATAAAAGTGCACAGCATGTTTAAAGTGAATCTTTATGCTATGTGCAAGTTCTCATATTAGAATCTCTCTTTTTCTTAAATGACTTAGCAGTAAATTCCTAATTTAGCCCCAGCATCATTGAATAGGTAATAGCTATGGTTTTCTGTTTGGTCGACACTAATATAAGCATTGCAGGGATAACTAGAAACTATTGTTTGCAATTGTACTATTTTCTTTAAATGGTTTTAGGACCAGATTGTATTTCTAGTGATATTTCTCAAGTAATTGTATTCCCATGTCAGAAGGAAACCGCAAACATAGCCATGGAAAAAGTTTTAATGTTATTCCATTTCCTGATATTCTGAAACACAAAGTTTGGACCTTAAGGAATGTTTACAAAGAGATGAAGAGTACATTTCTTCTTCTGGTAGTAAGAAATCAGAAGATTCATTAACCCATATAATTTGGTCTTGTTACAGTAGTCCTCAACTTACAAAAGTTTATTTAGTGACTGTTTGAAGTTACAATGGCAATGAATAACGTGGCTGTTCACACTTATGACTATTGTAACAGCCCCGTGGTCATGTGATCAAAATTCCAATGCTTGGCAACTGGCTAGTATTTATGACTGCAGTATGATCACCTTTTGCAATCTTCTGACAAGCAAAGTCAATGGGGATGCCAGTTTCACTTAACAGCCATGTTGCTAACTTAAAAACTGCAGTGATTCACTTAACAACTGTGGCAAGAAAGGCCATAACATTGGACAAAACTCAATAACGGCCTCACTTTGAAAACAGAAATGTTGGGATCAATTGTAGTTGTAAGTCAAGGACTATCTGTATAGCCTTGTTTGAACTTAAAATTATTACATATAGTAGCATAATCTTTGGAAGAAATATGATAGAAGGCTCTCAGTGTGATGTTAAATTATATTCCTAAAACATAGAATTTTTCATCTTGTGAAGAGCTTAGCTCTGCTGAGCATAGGTTATGGCAAAGAAGATAATTCTACATAAGTGGAAAGAAAGTTATTCTCCTGATTTTTTTAAAAAAAAATGGATCCAGGATATGAGTTTGTTATCTGTTTTAAAAATGAGAAGATGATTCAGTATGTTGGTGTATGGTCTAGACTGAGTTATAAGTTTAATCGTTGAACTAATGTTATATGCTGTAGTTATTTCCAATTATTATTTTGTCAGTTTTTTTCCTCTTCTTTGCCGCATTTAGTTAAAGTGCTTTTTAACCCAGTTGGAAATTATAAAGCCTAAAGTGACTACAGTTGGGGGGGGGGAGTTTGTATTTCAGACTGTCCTCTAGCCCTTGGTTTCTTCTTTGTATAAACAGAGGCAAAGAATCAAGATCACACAAGTATTATTACCACTTTATAAAACCATAGTAAGACCACACCTGGAATACTGCAGCCAATTTTGGTCACCATATCACAAAAAAGATGTTGAGAGTTTGGAAAAAAATCAGAGAAGAGCAATTAAGATGAAACATAAAGATAAAACATACAAAGAACGGCTACGGGGCTTGGGTTTGGCTAGTCTAAAGAAAAGAAGAAATAGGGGAGACATGATAGCAGTATTCCAGTATCTGAGGGGCTGCCACAGGGCGAGGGGGCCAAGTTGTTCACCAAAGTACCAGAGGGAAGGACAAGAAACAATGGTTGGAAACTGATCAAAGAGAGAATCAACCTGGAACTAAGAAAAAAACCTCTTGACAGTGAGGACAATCAACCAGTGACACAGCTTACCCCCCAGAAATCGTGGGTGCTCCATCACTGGAGATTTTAAAGAGAAAACTGGACATTCACCTGTCTTGAGATGGTGTAGGTTCTCCTGCTTGAGCAGGGGGCTGGACTACAAGACTTCCAAGGTCCCTTCCAACTCTATTCTATTCTATTCTATTCTATTCTATTCTATTCTATTCTATTCTATTCTATTCTATTCTATTCTATTCTATTCTATTCTATTGTAGGAATGTGGCTGCTTATGAATGATTACAAGGTCAGTTCCAATGATTGATCCAAACACAACAGGAGGAATTCAGTAACTTGCAGCCTTCTGCAATAATCAAGGCTATTCTGTTGTCCATGCTAAGATGACTGATATCCTATTTATTTTTGCATAGTGTTTTTTACACATCCACAGTAATCAAGACTCAAATTATATATTCATATGCATGACCTGTGCAAGACAATCTAAACACTGGAGAAGAAAAAATTGGGTACATTTTAGTATGGATTATTGGAATACTACATCCATGAGGCAAATCAGAATAATTTATTACATACAAATTTATTCCATACAAAGAACATGACCAAAACTGTGCTGAAGGGGTCTCTTATAATCACTGACATATTGGCAAAATAGCCACCATCAGCATCCAGTTCTCTTAAAAAGAATTGCTATTAGAAAGTGCCAATCCATAATACAGTACAAACATTCATTTGCTTACAGTATTTTACACTGCATGGAAGCATATTACCCTATGTTAAAAACCGGAGAGAACAAAACATGACCATTAATAAACCAAACATCCCACTGTTGTTTGACCATCCCTATTATTCAAATATTTCTGAAATAGCTGTGAAGAAGGTTGATTGTGCTGCATTAGTAACAAGGGCTTCATTGTCAATGAAAATAGCAATAGAGAATACTTTACAACACTTTATTGCATGTTTCACGTTGCATGTATTAAGTTGAGGGGTCAAAAGTATACACAAGGTCTGTTTTGGTCTGTTTTTCTTCATCGTATTAGCAAATATTAATATGCAAATCAGATTCTTTCTTTAAATTGCCTTCAGTGGACAATTGCTGTTGACTCTTGCTTTTTTAAAAAAATCTCCCCCCTTACCAATATTTGAGGAAAAATATTCATATGTGCATTCAAGGATTTTAATAGAATTTTCCCCCACTCAGTTAATGTGAATTACTTTTATTTGCAAGTGTGAAAAAACACGGAACTTTTATTTCTTTGGATATTCAGAAGGACCATTAAGAGAGCCTATAATGCAAATGAATAGGCCAGAGATCACACATTTAACTCTGTATTAGCTCTAAGACAATTAAACGTGCCTTGGTTTTACATACTATGGGAGTTTAAGTAGGTGGTTTAAAAAGGATGAGGAAGATAAGAAAGTACAATGTGGGTGAATTTGGCTGGACAACAGATATGAACTGATAATTATAAAGCCCATTAAAAACATAATTATTCAGTTTTTTGTCCAGATATTAAGATAAGAAAAGGATCAGTTTGGCAGTTGAAGAGTGACAGTTAGAAAATGAAGGATACAGTTGGCCAAATCAAGGCAGTGTTTCTCAAACTTGATGTTAACATCTGGACTTCAACTCTCAGAATTCCCCAGCACCTATACAGGTAGTCCTTGATTTACGACCACAATTGAGCCCAACATTTCAATAGTAAACCATTGGTTAAGTGAATTTTACTCCATTTTATGACTTATTATAATGTGGTTATTAAGTGAATCTGGCTTCCCTATTGACTTTGCTTGTCAGAACGTTGCAAAAGGGGATTACATGATGACCCTGGGACACCACAACCATCATAAATATGAGTCAGTTGTCAAGTGTCTGAATTTTAATTACATGATCATGGGGAAATTGCAATAGTCATAAGTGTGAAAAACAGTCATCACTCACTTTTTTCAGTGCCATTGTAACTTTGAATGGTCACTAAATGAACTGTTGTTGGACAAGAATTACCTGTATTTAAACTAAGATTTCATCAGAGATTTTTCCTGGATTTTCTGTAAAATGAGGAATGATCTTATAAGAACTGACAGTGCTGGCAATATCAACATTTCACATTAGATGTTGTCTTTTATGCTGGCTGTCTTCATGAACAATGCTAAAGTGTAAATTTGATCTTCCCTTCTACTTCTACAATGCATGATTGTATTCCAGATAATGGTGTAAATTTTACATCCCATTAAAGGCTGATTTCAACATGACAATGTCAGCATCTTATAATAAATTTTGAAACCAACATGGTTCGATAATGAATTAAAGAGCATAGGCCACTTTAGCTGACTGTGTTCAGCAGGTCAGCGGTTCAAATCTCACCGGCTCAAGGTTGACTCAGCCTTCCATCCTTCCGGGGTAGGTAAAATGAGGACCCAGATTGTTGGGGGCAATGTAAATATACATATACATTGCTTACTGGTGTACACCGCTTAGAGAGTGCTTGCACTTAAAGCGGTATATAAGTCTCATAAATAAATAAATAAATAAATAAATTGTACCATGCAACCATTCCTTTATTATTCAGTCCATCCGTTCATCCATCTAAGCAGCCTGCTAGCCAGCCCATCATAACATTTCCATATTATACCCGTATGGCCAACTTAAACCATCTCCACTTATGATACTATCATTCTTTAGAAAGAAAAGAAGTAATATGGATAATGCTTTGTAGATAAGGATTCTGACATCTCCAGGTGTGGATGGAGAAAGTCCCCCATTAGAATTGCTGTAGCCACTTCAACTTCATACAGGTAACAGTGATCTAGACTTAATGGTATTCTATAAAGCAATTTCATACAGGAAAAATCACTGATGGGGCACGTAATTTTTTGCATCTTCAAAGTCCCATGCTCTCTGAAACCTTGAATAACTGGCAGCATTTGCAAAAAAATATGTGCTCCATCAGAGATTTTCCCGGTATAAAACTGCTTTATAGAATACCATTAAGTCACATGGAGCTACCGTATATCACCTGACAGACTCAATATAAAATAGCTTCCTACATTCACATAGACTGTAGTTTTCATACATAGTGAATATATGGACTCTTGGCATTAAAACTTCATATAAATGTGCATATACTTGAATTTGAACTCTTATTCCTGCAGTTTTCAGAGATAGACTCTACAGCTATAAATTAACCGCTTTATAAACAGATTCCAAAGTGTCTGGTCACCATACAAACAATTTGTAAAAATGTTGGCTGTAGTTGTTATTATTATTATTTTGTAATACTGTATATCTTCCTGTGAAAGACATTTTTCAGTCAGCTTAACCTCCCTGGTGCACTTATTTCTTTTACTAGCATGAATTTGTTTCCCCGTTCCATTTTTTTTCCTGGACTGTGTTAATCCTTGGAAAAAAAGAGACTCTTAGTTATTTCTAACTTCTATATGTCTATTTCAAGCCAATACAAGACTGAATACATTATACATTGAATTTTATGGTTGTCCTGTAACCAAACAATTTCTCTATATCTTTTAATTTATCCTAGACTTAAAAATTAGACTAATTGATTTGGAATTTTAGACATACTGTGATATTTAAGATTTTCTTGCAATTCATACACATGTTCAAGGTCTCTGACTTTCTATAAGGAATACACTTCCATAAACTACTTTCAAAATTCTGAGGCACTATGCAAAATTACCATTTACTAAGCCACAGAAGATAGAACAATGGAAGATTTTTGAGAATTGGTCCACTGGATAAAGAAACGTCTATGTTTCTATGGAACAAGGATGTTTGTGGATAAAGAAGTACAAACGTATAGCTACAGGAAAAATAGACTGGATCAATACAATAGGAGCTAGCATACAGTATACTTATTCTGAATTTGAGAAACCCATTATTGGTGACAGCAGCAAAGACAGCATGGATGAGTGACCTGCATCAGGCATTAAGCCACTAAAACAAGCTCTTGTCACATTGAACAGAAACCTCAAAAACATTGGGATTTACAGCCAAATGCACTAGTATAAAGTTCTGAATAGGCCATCTTTTGCTGTGTCTGGAAACAGACGGCTGATTGGACTGATGTGCCAAAGTGCAAAGTTGTGCAGAATATTCCCCACAATCTCTTTGCCTTCCATCACCTCATGTGAATAGGTAAACTTTTTCTTCATATGATAGATTCTTCTTCATCCTCTTCCATCTCTTTATCAATTTGAAAAGCTATGTTTTCATAGCTAGTGATCCCTCCATATTTTCTCATGTGGACCATCAAGGGTTTAGGAGACTGGCTACCTGCCAGGGTTGCCACATACATGCCAGTTCTGTTTTCCTCCAGAGAAGGACCCCAATCCATTGTTGGTCTGCTAGCTTGCTGGATTCTCTGCAGGTAAATGAACAAATGAATTGTTGTCATTGTAAGCACATCCCAACGAAATTAATTACCGTATATGCCGGCGTATTAGGCGACCCGGCGTATAAGACGACCCCCATCTTTATAGCCGGGCCGCATTCCTAGAACGTCGTCTTATACACCGGAAACTACCAGTATTTCCGGCGTATAAGATGACTCGGCGTATAAGACGACCCCCGTCTTTGGCACCGATTTCAGCGCTCGCGGAAGTCATCTTATACGCCGGCATTTACAGTATTTTCTAGTTCATGGGTATTAGCAGAACCTGCCATGTATTACTTGTGGGTTTTGATGGAATTCCAGCTAACCTAAACCAGCCCACTGTTTGCACAAGAATTTATTTCATTAATCCTTCACTAATGAATCAGTTTAATCACACCCTGTATAGTAATCTGCAATACTTGTCCCACTGTTAACATAAGAAATGATTCCCCTGTAGCAGTTCAAAAAATGGAAATTTTGCCTTTCTTTTCTCCTGGAATTATAAGGAATTATGGCATTCAAGATCTGTTCAGTCTTGGGCTCTTATTAAGCTTTCTCAAAACTTGTAAGCCCTCAGATACAAAAAGCTTATAGTTTTGTTGCGAGATGCTTTTTGAGATCTAATTACTTGACCTAATGTGGTCCTAACACAGGCGCAGGTGAGGTACCAATAACTTCCACTGGTATCAACATCCTTCCTTGTTCTCGTGCTTTATCTTCCACCTGCCTTTTCACACTCTGGCTTACTTAGTAAATACATTAACGGAGACCATCAAGGAAAATAACAGATCAGTTTGTTCTACTGATTGAACATGAAAATTTGCCCCCTTAAACAAGGAAGAATGTTGATAGCAGTGGAGATGCCCAAAGGAATTATTTGCTTCCTTTTGAGTCAGTGCAAAAATAATAAAATATTTATTTCATGTGTATGTTACATAATTACTATGTGCCAATGAGTGTTTATATTATCCCAAGGTTCATATAAACTTTCACCCTTACTATTCTGAGCGTCACGGTAAAAACATGGAAGATGAGTCCTACATGTGATTTCTAGACCAATGGCCCCCAACCTTTTGGGCACCAGGAACCAGTTCTGTGCAGAGAGGTTTTTCTGCAGATCGGAGGGGTTGTGTGTTTTCACTTGCAGCCTGCAGCCTGCAAATGGGGCTTCACTTGTCTGCACAGCCCAGTTTCTGGCATGCCATGGACTGGTGCCAGTCCACGGACTGGGAGGTTGAGGACCCATGTTCTAGACCACAAAAACTACAATGTTTATTACTGGTTGCAGCTTTAAATTTCTTTTACATATAATAACATGAAAAAAATGAAAAACATACAGTTTCCAGAATACAAATCAGTAAAGAAAAATAATCAAGATAAGCATTTGTTCAACAAAAATTAATCAGCGCTGATATTGCTGATGTAGTTAGGATTCAGCCTCAGGATCAAGTCTATCCCTCCTATGACCATTCAGAAAGTGGCAATAGAGAGCAGCAGCAAAGGGATCAAGCAGCAACACCTGGGTTACCTTGGGCATGCTGATGCCCGTTGTTGCTATAAAGGTAAAGATCATGTCCGACTCTAGGGGGCGGTGCTCATCTCTGATTCTTAGCCAAGGAACCAGTGTTGTCCAAGGCATTTCTGTGGTCATGTGGCATGATTATATATCAAAGCACACAGAACGCTGTTGCCTTCCGACCGAAGTGGTACCTATTTATTTATTCACATTTGCATGCTATCAAACTGCTTGGTGGGTATAAACTGAAGTAAGTAATGGGGGCTCACTTGGATGTGCAGCACTTGGGTCTAGAACCTGGGCAGTCAGTTTTCCAGTTGACAAACTCAGCGTCTTTAACCACTGAGCCATTGCATCCCCTATTGTTGTTATGTGCCATAACTTTTTTCTTATTTTATGGTCCATGAGATCAGCTTGTACATGGCACATGATGCAATCAACATGGAGAGGAAGCAAGGTGGATTTGACCACTGTTGGGAGTAGTTTGCAAACCTAATTGGGGTGGAGAGGGTGGTATAAGGAGTCATGAAGTTCTTCTAATAGTCCAGGAATCTAATAATGCAACCCTAATGTAATAATTGTTGGCTTGGTGAAAAGCGGACTCTGGAAATCAACCCAACTGGAATCAAGTTGCAGAAAGCTAATTTGTTTATATGAACCACTGCAGTACTCAGAAATGACTTGCAATACCATATGACTTCAGCATATAATGCAAAAGTGCTGAAATCTGTTCTCTTTCTAGAGACAATCCTTTTGCAGTCTACATATATACCAGCAGAGGACACCTTCTGCCTCAATAAAAAGAGCCGAGGTGGCGCAGCAGTTAGAGTGCAGTACTGCAGGCCACTTTAGCTGTGTGTTCAGCAGGTCAGCAGTTCAAATCTCACCGGCTCAAGGTTGACTCAGCCTTCCATCCTTCCAGGGTAGGTAATATAAGGACCCAGATTGTTGGGGGCAATGTAAATATATATATATACATTGCTTACTGGTGTACACCACTTAGAAAGTGCTTGCACTTAAAGCAGTATATAAGTCTCATAAATAAATAAATAAATATAAAAGTTTGAAAAATGATCTTATTAATATAATAACATAAAATGGATATAAAGAGGAAACTTTTCTATCTGGGCAAAATTTATAAAGAATGATATACCGTATATGCCGGCATATAAGACGACTTCCGGAAGCGCTAAACTTGGCGCCAAAGACGGGGGTCGTCTTATATGCCGAGTCGTCTTATACGCCGGAAATACTGGTAGTTTCCGGCGTATAAGACGACGTTCTAGGAAGGCGACTCGGCGATAAAGACGGGGGTCGTCTTATACGCAGGGTCGCCTAATACGCCAGCATATACGGTAAATAAAATGCATTCCTGGAGCTATAAAACTTAGGGAGTGTCTTAGGGAATAAAAAATGAAAAAGTTCTGAGCTCACATGCTATGAAGTCAGAAGCAAAAGGTCTCCGTGGAAAATAGGATAATCACTGAGATGGGGAGATTGTGAACTTGGAGATCCATTTTTTTTCTAATTTAAATTTTTGGCAAAAAAATCTATTATAGGTCACCTTGACCCAAGTATCTCTGAAGAGTTCTTTTTAAGGACTAGGTGTCCCAGTACAATGTATACAGTGCCTTTTATTTATGAAAGGAAGCAACTTCTATTTGTTAAAAACTTATACACATTCAGAAAGGCCAAAGGCACACAGGAAGCACCTTTGATATCAGTTTATAACCCATAAGTGACTTCTTGGATTAACAGCAATATTACAGATTCCCAAGCAGAAAAAGTTTTTCCTCATCTCTTTCGTTCTTTTCCTTCATTTTTGAAATGGTTTGAAATGGTTTGTAATTGAACATTTGGATTTATAAAATTGTACTAACATTGGATGTTCTTGCTTTGACAACTGTCCTTCTGCCTAAAATTCTCGTGGCAGAATGTATTTAGATTGAAAGAAAAAAATTAAAGGTCAGATTGCTTTATGTGAACAGAGCACTTACATAGAAGGCTTCCATCTTAAAGCTAATATCTTAACAATAATACACATAACTTTAGGAAACATGAAAAGCAACAGAAAGGTCCCCTTGTTTTAAATATGTATTGGTCAGCAACTGGTTAAGAAATGAAATCTCTAGTTTTGGCTGGTTGGCATTCACAGATATTAAATGAAAGGCTAGGAAAAAAAATATTTTGTATTTGCCTAAATAGTAAGAAAAATCATCAACATTTCTGGCATAATGTATTACTTTATTTTCTTTGCTCTGTTGAATAAAATATGTCAGTTGCAAACCTGAACCGTGTTGCAAACATTTTTTAAAAAGTAATTCATTATCACCCTCAGAAAATTGCTCTTGTTTTTCTCCCTCTTTTCAGAGTTGGGTGGGATTTTATATCCTAGTTGACCATCTAGAGCAGTCTTTCTCAGTCCTGGCAACTTTAAAATATGTGGACTTAAACTTCCAGAATTCTCCAACCAACCTGGCTAGGGAATTCTGGGAGATGAAGTCCACACATCCTAAGTTACAAAGTTTAAGAAAGACTGCCCTAGAGCTTGAACGCATTTGTTTTCACTCTGGAAAGAGGGCCTGCCATGCTCCCGCCCACACCTTGTCTTCAAGGCTCATTTAGTGCAACAAAGAGACTAAGGATATTCTCACTGTCTTGCAAGTATCTTCTAAGCAACCTACCATAGGGAGTGGCAGCAATATTGTCCAAGCCAGCAGACCAACACTCACATAGGCATGTTATCAAAAACATGGTCTTTGGGTGTTTTGAAGACAGAAACAAGGAACAATTGCTTCTGTTTTTGTGAAGGAAGGAGATAGGTCTAATTTTTTAACTCACAAAGCATTGGAAGCTTCAGGGGCAATGCATCCAGCAATAGATTTGATTCAAGGAGAGTGAGCATTTTCTGTGCTTAGTTATGGGCTTGGTTGACTGAGCAGTAATTGGCTGAAGGCACAATTGGAGAGTTCCAGACCCATAACAATACAGGTGATATCATGCTGAAAGCCATTTGGATTTGCAGACAAATAGGACAAAGAGGAAGAATGATGGGTTGACTTCAAGTGGGCAAAATGACTACAAGCAGGAACGCTGGGGTGTGGCCAAGCTCTTTATCTGTTCACAGTACTGTATGAGTTCATAATGACCCTTCAGATGTAATGCTAAAGTTCAGACTTGTACTGAACAAATTGGAGCAAATCTGGAGGAGCTTTGGGCAATTCCTGCCCAGCTGTAAGTTCAAAAGCTTTCAGATTTGTTTTCAGTTAACCAGAGTTATTGATATGTCTGACTCTGAATTGTGTTTAAACTTTAACTATGACTTACATAGTTATAAACTATTTATATTTACTGCATATTTTATTAAACCACCGGTTAATACTAACTGGCCTCAATCCGAATGCTTTAGTTAAAAATCAAAATGAAAATTCCAGTTTTTTTCCTTATTACAAAAAGGAAAGAAAAGAAGACATTGCTGAGGCTTACCATACATCACTGCACAAAACTGAAGATAAAATGTAGAAAGGAAATATATGATTGGGGCTAATTGCCACTTCCTACACTCTAATTTCCTCACATGTGTAATTGTTGTTTTCCTTTCATGCTTCATTTCTGTATAGTATTGCAAGCAACACCTTTTTAATCCTGGTCCATGAAATATGATTTGGGCCTTAACAATGCAAAATTATTGTTTGGGATTTTATTCCTGCTGCCAGATGAAAACAAACAGAAAGACCACAAAACCACATCACATCACATGGGCATTAGGACTCACTAGATGAGAAAAGGTGGTAAATAATATTCTAGTTGGGCAGTCATGAGGGAAAGCACAGTAGAGGTGAGCAATCTGCAACCCTAGGCTTGGGGTCTGTCTTTGCAAAGCCTCTATTGATGAAAATGGGGGACATACTGTAATTTCATAGTGAGAAAAATGGAGGAGCCCTGGTGGTGCAGTGATTGGAATGCAGTATTGCAGGCTGACTCTGCCCACAGCCTGGAGTTAAGTCTGACTGGCTCAAGGTTAACTCAGCCTTCCTTCCTTCTGAGATCAGTAAAATGAGGACCCAGATTGTTGGGGGCAATTTGCTGGCTCTGTAAACTGCCTAGAGAGTGCTGTAGAGCACTATGAGGTGCTATTATTGCTAGTATGATATGGAATGAAATCCATTACAATCCTACCACAAGTCCTATAATAGATTTAACCTTTTTTTAAAGAAACCTAAGAATCATCATCATCATCATCATCATCGTAATAATAGTTGGAAGGGACCTTGGAGGTCATCAGGTCCAACCCCTGCTCAGGCAGGTAACCCTATACCATTTCAGACAAATGGCTGTCCAGTTTCTTCTTAAAAACTTCCAGTGTTGGAGCATTCACCGCTTCTGGAGGCAGGTTGTTCCACTGGTTAATTGTTCTAACTATCAGGAAGTTTCTCCTTAGTTCTAGATTGCTTCTCTCCTTGATTAGTTTCCATCCGTTGCTTCTCATCCTGCCTACAGGCGCCTTGGAGAATAGCTTGATTCCCTCTTCTTTGTGGCAGCCCCTGAGATATTGGAACACTGCTATCATGTCTCCCTTCGTCCTTCTCTTCGTTAAACTAGACATACCCAATTCCAGCAACCGGTCCTTATATGTTTTAGTCTCCAGTCCCCTAATCATCTTTGTTGCTCTTCTCTGTACTCTTTCTAGAGTCTCAACATTTTTTTTACATCATGGTGACCAATGCAGTATTCCAAGGGTGGCCTTACCAAGGCATTGTAAAGTGGTATTAATACTTCACGTGATCTTGATTCTATCCCTCTGTTAATGCAGCCTAGCACTATGTTGGCTTTTTTGGCAGCTGCAGCACACTGCTGGCTCATATTTAAATGATCGTCCACCAGGACTCCAAGATCCCTCTCACAGTTACTACTATTGAGCAAGGTACCTCCTATACTATACCTGTACATTTGGTTTTTCTTGCCTAAATGTAGAACCTTACTTTTTTCACCATTGAATTTCATTTTGTTAGATAGCGCCAAGTGTTCAAGTCTGTCCAGATCCTCCTGTATCCTAAGCCTGTCTTCTGGAATGTTGGCTATTCCTGCCAGCTTGGTGTCGTCTGCAAATTTGATGAGTTCCCCATCTATCCCCTCATCCAAATCATTGATGAAGATGTTGAAGAGCACTGGGCCCAGAACAGAGCCCTGGAGCACCCCACTACACACTTCCCTCCATGTAGATGTGGTTCCATTGAAGACCACACACTGAGTACAGCCAGTCAGCCAGTTATGGATCCATCTGGTGGCAATGCTGTCTAACCTGCATTTTTCTATCTTATCAAGTAGTAGGTTGTGATCTACTTTGTCAAATGCCTTATTGAAGTCCAAGTAAATTATATCCACAGCATTCCTCTGGTCCACTAATTCCCAAATGTTCCCTTCCTCTTTGCATAACTGCTTCACTTGTTTTAGCCCAACAGGATTACGCTGCTGTTTTGGGTTGGATGGTTTTCTTCTTGTTACTTACTTGCCAGAGTGTCCCTTCTTCTCGAAGCAGAGCAAACAGCATTCCCATGGGGATCATCAGGCAAGAGAAGATCCCCATTAGGATGCCCAGAGCCTCAGCCCAAAATGGAAAGCAGTAAGTCCCATTGTACTTTGAAGGCTGGTATTTGATAATGCTGTACACAAGCAGGGCCTGAAACAGAGAGTCAGAGAACCAATCAATCTGCCATAGGAGTTTTCATTTCCTTTCAAAGTTAGATATTACAAGTTAGTTGAGTATATTTTATACTGCTCAACAGATGCAATATTAATCCCATGGGGCTAGTACAGTGGCACTGTGGAAGATCATCAAGGAAATAGCAGGGTGAACTCTTTTATCCTTAGGTACATAGAACTTTCTATTCCCATTTAAACTAGGCATATAAATGGTTGAGGATTAATACAGAATGAAGCTAGCATTTATTTAGTTACTAAAGGGTTATCTTTTGTTTTGTTCTGCCGTTGGTATGGAACACCTGTGTAGAGTAAAATGAACTTCCTCAACTTCAGCAGATGAGCTTTCATCACCACCTTGTACAAACAAATACTCCTTAACCTTGGGATGTTCTCCCCTTTAGCAGAATAGAAAAGGCTTTCCAAGAAAAAGATAAGATAAACCTATCCTCCTTGCCCTTAGCCAAATCAAGTGAGATGAAGACACTGAAAACAGGGGTGATTTTTTTTTTTTTTAATGTTTGGAGCCCATATGAGCTGGTCAATAATCCCAGTGAGATCAAACATCAGTGCAGACCTGCTCCATGTTTGCCAGCTGTAAAGGGATCTGTTGGCTTTATCTCTTTGGAGTCCCCTGAGTGGCAGAACAAGTGCAAGGTCATCCTTTTTTCCCCCTTAATGTTCTTCCAATAACCTCGGTTATTCCTTGATTGCTGTTTTATATTACTTTCTCACACTGCCATGCAATAAAGCCTTGAGTACTCATACCAATGTAATCATTATTTCTAAATTCAAAAGTACCTATGATTCAAACCTCCTGGGCTGGGGAAGGAACAATGCAACAAGAGCTGAGGTGGCGCAGCAGTTAGAGTGCAGTACTGCAGGCCACTTTAGCTGACTGTGTTCAGCAGGTCAGCGGTTCAAATCTCACGGGCTCAAGGTTGACTCAGCCTTCCATCCTTCTGGGGTAGGTAAAATGAGGACCCAGATTGTTGGGGGCAATGTAAATATATATATACATTGCTTACTGGTGTACACCGCTTAGAGAGTGCTTGCACTTAAAGCGGTATATAAGTCTCATAAATAAATAAATAAACAAGGATAAAAAAAAAATCCCTGAGTGGCAGACACAGCGACAATAGGAAGAGTTAGAGGAAAGAATGCTTCAGAGTGACTATAGTTACCGTCATTGTTACCGGAGACAAGAACAACCAGCAGGCCTTAAAGTATATCCCTGGCTTGAAACCCAGCATCATGTGAATGTCATGGCAAAATCTTTTCATGCCTAAAAAGAAGAAAAGGAATGGGAAATAACGATGCTGTTATTCTATATTCTGGTTTTTAAGAAAATGCCACTGATCCTGGATTTGGGCTACCTTTTTTCTAAATCCCAAATCTCTGCTCCACAAATTACATCTCATACATTTCTAAATTGCTCATTTCACTTTTTTTTTTAAAAAAAAGGATTTATAACAATTGCAAACATATCTTACCGTAAACACGTGTCACTACCAGACAGGTAGTTATGACCACCACCATGAGACCAAACCCAGCACTGTAGTCATCCAGCAGCACCAACCAGTACATTCCACCCTGCAGAGAAAAAAGCATAAATGTCCAAAGTTTGTGTGTGTGTGTGTGTGTGTGTGTGTATTTATCCATCAATCAATAGAAAAGTATATTTATAGCTCAGGTTGATCTGTCTCTAGGCTGTTTTCTTGCAGACATTTCATTACCCAACTAGGTAACATCATCAGTGCAAGTGCAAGAAAACGGCCAAACTCAGAGAACACCAAAGGACCCCACAGTTACTCACTTATTTATTTATTTGAATGTAAAAGTTGCCCAACTCCATTTTGCAAGAGCTACAGTTAAAAACATATTAAATGGAATATTATCTTTGTATCTGAATAAAGTTGTTTGGACCAAACAACAACATAGCTATAGACTATGTTTCGTTACCCAAACATTCAAAAGGAATAAATGCCAGATACGCCGAAATTCCAAAGACATGGTCCTAAGAAAGTGATACGACACTGCTCAGATTTTGAATGTTGGGGATTAAGTAGCTGCAATTAACTATTAATAGAAATTAGCCTATTGGTTGGGTAAACAGATAAGCCACAACTTCTGCTTTGATTATCTTCTCTTTTACTGGTGTCACATAGTTTACTAGATGCTGTGGGCAATCCTTGCCCTTTTGCCCCTTTATCCTAATACAGTACAGACTCTACTTGTAAGCTTAAAGCTCCAGCTATTACAATCTCTTCCAATCTACTTTGCTTACTTACCTCTGTTGTGAGAATGAGCCCCATTAGAAACATTGCAACACAAATGATGCCTGAGAAAAAAGCCTTCTTTGGACGCAGGTAATATGGGAACTCATCTGTCACTGCAGTAACAATGGTCTCTAGAAAGGCAAACTGAATACAAAAGCATGAGATCTCATCAACTGTAAGGTCCATTCATTTGAAGGTAGATGGTTAAAGCCTTTCCTCTCAGCAGGTTTTGCCCTTACCTGACTATCCAGGCCAAGAGTCAACAGCATGAAGAAAAAGAGAAAAGACCAGAAAGGAGAAAGAGGAAGCATTGTCATGGCTTGTGGATAAACTACAAAAGCCAACCCTGGACCTAGAATGGGCCAAGAATGAGAAGAGTTATGAATGCAATCAAGGAGACGTCATTAGGATTGGATTTCATGAGTATAAAAATTGAGTCACTGAACAAGTGAGGTTGTAGCTCACACTGAATCAGCTTGCTCACTTTGTCACACAATATGCATTTTGATTGTTGGATGTGTGGTTTTATTCATTTATTTATTGGCCTCCTAGGCAAACAAGCTGGCTGGCCCTGACCTAAAGGTATTTGCTCTCCATAGTGTGTGTGTGGGGGGAAGTGTTTCCCTTGTTCTGGTGGTCATTGTTTACTCCTGGCAACTACATGAACTAGTCCCAGCATTTTCCTGGGCAGCGTTTTCAGATGTGGTTTGCCATTGTCTGCTTTCTAGGGCTGAAAGAGAGTGAATGCACCAAAGTTACCCTGCCAGTTTTGTGCCTAAAGTAGGAGTAGAACTCCTGGTTTCTAGCCTGCTGCCTTAACAGCTACGCCAAACTAGCCCTGTTCCATAGTTGGTAGCCTTCTTTGTACTATAAATGGGGTGGAACCGGGTCTCTTCAGAAGTTCATATAGATAAAAAAATTATAGCTCGCATGTGATCAATCAGGAAATATATCTCACAACTTTCACTTAATTTGGCTCTAGATGTATCAGTTAATGCAAACACCTGCTGGATGCAATGATACATTTTTCTTGGCAAAAATACAAATGCAGTTAGTGATAGCCAACCTATTTCATCTGAGTTACAATGCTAATGAGTTTTAAAACCCTTTATTGTTGATTACTTGTTCTCTGGTACACTTTATCACAGAGTGATGCACAAAGAAGAAAAATAATATCTTCTCAGTCTGTGGCTTATATGATTAGTTGGAGAAGCTATCATTACGTACAGTTCTTCTGTGTCTTCTGTTACCTGCTTATTCTGTTGCCTTTACTCTTCCCAAGCATTGACATCATCTCCAAATACTTTTCTACCACGTTATGTGTCCAAAATATTAAAATTATACAATTGGAGGAAGCACATTGTGAGGATAGCAAGATTTAGGATGCCGCTATCTCCAACCAGTTTCAGGATGGAAGGACAGCACAATGAAGCAGTTGGGTGGATGTAATCTAGGAATGGGGAAATTCCAGTTCTAACCCACTCTCAACCATTGAAGTTCATTGGGAGATGCTGGGCTA